GTTCTGAAACAGAAAATGTACCCATGTATTCAGAACATTCCTCTGGGTGCTCTCAGGCCCTGTTTACACCTGGTATTAACATGTGTCTTGAGTAATCCGATCACAAGTGAACAGTGCTAGATACCATTCCTTTCAGGATTTTGCATGCTGATTTTGGGATTGTTGCAGCCTGAAATACCTAATTTCACTGATTACCACCTATCAGCTGTTATTGACACAGTGCTCACAGTGCAGTCTCCTCCTGCTCTCTCTGCCTGGTTAACACAAACTACCGCAGCACAATGTGATCTCATCCCTACTCGCCATATTTTGCTGCTTGGGCAGAAGCCCCGCAGCAGCAGTTGACACTGACTCTGAGCCGTCAATCTCACAACTGGCTTGAGTCTGTTGTTACACCTGTTAATAATCGTTGAGTAATGTTAGCTTTGAGATGCCAACAGTTAGCCCTGTTCGAGTCTGTCGCAGGTACAGAGCTCCGGTCTCGCAGCAGCAGTCTCATGAGAAACAGAGAGAGAGAGAGAGGGGCTGAGAGAATCAATATGCTACGCACAGCTCTACAATTAAATTAGATTTTACCCCTTGTAAATTGCAGTGATTTGACAAAATTGCAAGGTCATGCAGAACTCACAAGGATTGGCTGAATTTGCATTAACTCTTGCGATCGCAAGTGTACAAGTGTAAATGACCACTGAAATGCACTGGGATCTGATCACTCAAACCACTTGCCAGTGTCATGTGGGATGCATTTTACCACTTATCTTTTGGAGTACAAATGCTAATGTATCTTGATGTGTCCCCAACAAGGAGTATGTCATCAATACAGGACACAGCGATTGTTTTGGTGACACTTTAACCCATTCTGTGACGAGTTGGACAAAATGTTGAGTGACCGTTCCTCCTTTTGCCCTGTGGAAGACGTGTTAAATTCTGCTGACAGCTATATCTCCAACTGTGCCAACACAACTGCTAACATGACTAGCGAGCAGCTAGGGAGACTGTGGACATAATAATTGTGCGCAGGCCAGGGTCCTTTGACCTTCAAGCCAAAGTGGCGTAGGCAGTAACGAAATCTAAACACAAGACTTCCAGACTTTGATGACATCACACATTTTAGTTTTAGCACTCTAGTTTTTGGATGTGGGAGAAAGTTGATCATGCTTACTAATGTTTTTGGACTGTTTTAGAGCATAGGAATTACATACATGAATTTTGAGAATGGATGTAGCTCCCCTTTAAGATTTAAAAAGCCCTCAAGTAGGGCCTAGAATAACACGAAGCGTGTGTACTGGTGATTCTCTGCATGCCCTTTGAACAGGACCCATGACTTCATACTCGATGGGTCCATGGCATGTATATGTATAAATAGCTGACAGTTAACAAAATGCCATTACAGTCCATGTATAAAAAACTGTAAGAACATCTATATTACTGCATCTTTAACTAGAATTATTTCATTATTCGTTATTAACTTGTGAGTCCGGCTATTACTCATCCAGACAAATTACTCTAAATGAGACATTAAAGGGATAGTTCAGACCTTTTGAAGTGGGGTCATATGAGGTACTGAACCATGGTCAGTGCATTCCGTACAGTAAATGTCAGTCAGCATGCCTCAGTTTGGAGAAGCAAACTGGAGTCCAACATGGAAGCTAAGCCAATTTTAGCCACCTTGAAAATCAATATCAGTCCACTGAGAAAAACATGGATTTAACATCGCTCCACACAGAAGCTGCTACTGTGCCTAAATCAGTGATCAGTAATTTTGTTTGTGTAATTCTGTGACATTGGTGTTTTAAAGCGTTAGTTCAAGTCACACAATGACACAAACTAACTAACCAATCAAGGCAGCGGTAGACCAGCAGCTCCAGTGTTCGGCGAGCCAAAATTGCTGTTTTTGTCAATAGAGTCTGGTGGCTTTGAAAAATGGAGAACTGAAGCCCTTAACGATTTCCCCATCAGAACGGGCTGTCTGACGGAAAGGTAAGTGGTGAAAATACTATCAGTATAGCATATACATAAACTGATAAAATGATTTTTTTAGGTGCCTAGAATACATTTTTGCTGCCGCCCCCTCCACGGTACATTGCTGAACTTCCGTGACAGTACTCCTGCCACTTCTTGAAACTGAATGCATGCGGAAAGAACTGTATAGGTACCCCATACAACCCCACTTCATAAATCCCTTTAAGGGCATGTTACTGTCTCAACACTAAATCTCTTTTCAGTACACATAGTTATAGATGGTTAGTTTAGGGTGTAAACTGCTCTGTTGTACAGCGTTGACTTAAAATGGCTACAGTGTTATTAAACCCCCGAATAATAACCCACTCACAGATGTCAGGACGCTTGGAAAGACTGTATATTGTCCTAGAAGGGGGTACAATTACAGAAGCTCTTCAGCTATAATAAGACCGCCCCAACCTTTCAGATTCAGCTCCCACTAAGTGATCGCTGGTTCTAATGACCCATACTTTGAAATGGAGCCATTGCCAGAGGGAGAAAAACTGAAACGCAAATACAGTCTAATAATAAACGATCCAGGCTTGGTTTGGAAAGGAACAAAAAGTCACTGTCGGTGCCATTATGATAGTACATACAGCACAGATACACCCACCCTGGTCTCAGGCTTATATTTAGCCATGCTGCTGGCACCCCTCACCATTCTTAATCGGGTAAAAGAATGTTTATACTTAGGAATTGATGAGGAGGAAGAGCATGGGTGCCAACAGATGCAATGGGAAAAGCAAAGGTTGCATGACATTTATATCTGTGTGTGCTCAAAATGGGGCAGTCACCCGGGGATAAAGTAGGTCAGGTGCTGCATCATAACAATAGGCCCGTTTCCACTGAAGAAGTTCCTGGTACTATTTGGGGGACAGGAACTACTACAGGAACGTCCTCTCGCTCGGCCCTCTCAACCGCCGTGTCTCCACTGAGAGAGCGGGGTAAGAGGAAGGTTCCTGTAAAGTTACCGGGCTCTGGATGTGACGTAATCATTGCGCGACCATTTTGACCGGGGCAACGTAGTGGCGTAGGGACGCTGACGCTGTTAGCTGTTAGCTGATAGCGGTGTCTGTAATAACTCACTAAACTCACAAAGTGATCGGTGAAAAAAATATTTTTTTCCAGCGGATGTCTTAGTTACAACATGATTGAGCTAACTGGAGTAGTTTCATGTTGTTTCCGACAACGGGAGGCTTTTAACAGATGACGTCCTGATGTTAGCTTTGCTGCTGCTGTTAGCTGTCCTTGTCAGCTGCAGCAACTGATGCTTTCTAGACATTGTGATTTCCCAAAACTGAATAAATACCACACATAGCAACACAAAACTGCTTTGCTAGCTCAATCATGTTGTAACTAAGATATCCGCTGGAAAAAATATGTTTTTCACGGACCGGTTATTGAGTTTGTTTACATGGCGGTGGAAGCTATGAACGAGCTAACCCTTGTCTGCTGAGTTTTAAAACTGCCGGCTATTTTGTTGCTTTCTGTTGACGTCACATCCCTCCTTGAGTATATCCAATCAGCACCAAGTAACCCCCAAGCCCCAGCCAGGAGTTTTTCGGGGCCGTTCTGAGTATCTACTCCGAGGCAGGGACTTGTTTAGCCCCTGTAAAAGTTCCTCAACTCTGTCCTTCGGGGGTGGTTCCTGCAGTGGAGACACGCACCAATGGCCCCGGCCCCGTAAATTTACCCCGAAGTTCCTGCGGTGGAAACGGGCCTTATAACATAAAGGCTTAACTGCTAGGGATGTCCCAAGCCCATATGCAAGATCTGTATCTGAGCCTACGGTGGGGTTTGTTTTGTTTTTGTTTTTTTTCAAATATGAATCAAGATTCTGTAACTGCATTGGATTTTTTTCAGCGCGAATGTTTTCAGAAACATATTTTAGTGTACTGTTTAGCTGTAAAATGAGAAATTATTTGAGGCAAAAAACTGCAGTTCAAGAGCAGACTCTTCGGGTCTGATTGGTTGTTTTTGGTGTGCTGTGGTAGCCTCTAGGAATGCATGTACTTTTTTCATAATATAGTGACAGTTTCAGTAGACGAGACACAAATTTGCATTCATAAAAGTTACCAGCTGTAGCTTTAATGATATACCCACTAAGAGAGTGTGTGGAAGTACAGCCAGAGCTGCTTTGGGTTAAAAATAAAAACTAGGTGATGTTTTGCAGGTGCATGATATTGCACCTTGAAGTTCATTTGAATGTTCATATTGTGTTTATATGAGAAAAATAGAGTTGTTCTGCAAATCCTGTATGTAGCTTCTTTTCATTACAGAATGAAACAGAAATGAAACTTTAAATTTTCTTGATGAAGATTTCAAGCCATTAAACCCACCTGGATTGGCTTTTCTGATTTGAATGTAGGCCTCCTTAAGGTTAAGTATGTACTGTAGCTGTCTTATAGTATTAGCAGAGAGACTAAATTACTTTGACTGAGGTAAGTGGCAAAAAGTAAAACTAAACATGAACTGGACATCCCTTCTGACAGGTCTTACATCACACACCTTGACTGATAGGAAAGGGATGGGGGTGGGGGGTGGCTAAAAAGTGGCAATAAAACATCACAGCACATGTGATGCAGGATGGGAGAAAGATAGACAGAGAAGGAAGCCATGCAACCACAGTGAAGGAGGTATGAATGGGGACAGGGCCAAGCAAGGCATAGATGCTGGGGAATGTCTTGAAAATGTGAAAGGAGAGGAATAAGAGAGCAGCAAGAACAAGAGATATTAGTTGAATAGGTCAGTGGAATAGATAGAAATAGAGGAGGGAGAATAGCAAGAATCATGAGGCAGAGAAGAGAGTGGTGTCAAAAACTTTGTGGATAAATATAGTAGGAAGAGCGTCCTAGCAAGTGAGCCCTTGCTGTGGGTTACTGATGAGATGGCCGCAGGGTTGGAGGGTTGGAAGTTAACAGGGAGCAGAGCTTTCATGCTAGTGCTAGTGTTCTCTGTTCAAGCCGTGACTCACACTGGCAGGCTACACAGATATTTGCCTTCTAAGGGCAGCAGCTCGAAGCCCTGGGATGCCGAGGATGCTCGCCGGCTGAGCACTGGTGATGCTGCCTCTTCTTCTGCAGAGTGTGGTGGGTCGTCATCCTCAGGAGGCGATACCACTACTTCAGGGATGCCTTGAGGGCCAGGGCCTGCGCCATAGGTGCGTGGCGGGCTTTGGGAGGAGCGCCGGAAGGCAGAGGGGGTATTTTGAGGGGTGGTGAGGAACGGGGTGCCTGGGCCGGGCCCAGTGTTGGAGGAAGAAGAGGGCAGGAGATGGTTGAGCAGAACTGAGACTCTGGACTCTCGTCTCTGGGAGAGGTTGGAGACAGAGGAGGCTGCCCCTGGCTTGTGGAGAGAGAGACGTGAAGAGGACAGGCCCTCTCCTAACAGAGAAGACAATAACAAAAAGGGGAGAAGAGAAGGGAGAGAAAACGGAGGGAAAGGAGAAGGAGGAAAAGGAATAAGGGATGGAGCAGAGAGGAAAAACATATGAAGTAGGAGTACATCACAGAGGTGGTATCTGGAAGAAACACAGCCAGAAGGGGTGGGCAGCAAGAGCGTGGCAGAGGTGTAGTTAGAGAGATTTGTGCTTGCATAAACATGAGCGAAAGCAAAGTTGTGTGCAGGAGACACTAAGAATGATTCAGTGAGGCGTGTAGGAGGGTCTGCAAGGGCCAAACAACTTGTCTCATTCAACTCTGAAACAAACCAGTCACACATCATGACTGAGGTAGGGCAAAACTCTGGAGTTCAGAGAGGCTTGCATGCAGGAGAGGATGAGTTAGCACGATGTTAGTGCACTGTAAGCAAACATGTGCTCTACCACAACAGACCACTCAGAAATCCTACACAGTACACAGTACACACTCATTTGGCACGAGACATACATCTTTCACATCAAAAATATTACCATCACCAACCATCAATGTGACATATATAATTCTGACCTTTCACATGTGCATTTCAGGTTTAATGGTATGGAAATGCAAGCCCAACAAGAACCACAGGCACAGAAGTGGAGAATGTGATATTTCTCTCATTCTTAAAACCTCAGATTTTAAAATGCACACCATACATTAACACCACTGCAGCATGCCTAGTCAAAGAAACACACAATGCTGACTCTGGTTGCAGTTAAAGCAATATTTCCCGAATGTCACCCTATGGAGTGAATACAAGAATTAATTCAAAACCCCAAGCCAGGCCAGCCATACAGGTTAGCATAGTCAGTAGCACCCAGATTTCTCTTTCACTGTTGGGGCCGACTGCTTCAATATAGATCATTCTCTAGATTTTACTCACTTTTACCATCCACTTTCTACGATGGCATTGAGGGATTTGAACAGTGGATTTTTAGAAACAGTTCCCCAGTGGTCGAAAGTATGGAGGAAAAAGAAATGCGAGTGCGTCGCGGGATCTCACCGTTTCTTTCAAGCAAGAGTGGGTCAGAGTGTTTCTTGCCTATGTCAGCAATGGAGCGCACCAAAGGAATGCGATTGCTGAGCTTTCTCTCGTTCTGGTGGTGGTGTTTCTTCAGCATGGCTTCCCGCACCTTGTCGCGCAGATCCTCCTTCAGCTGGCCTGATGCCACCATGCTGTCTATCAGCATGTCTGAGCCGCACAGAGGCAGGGGCGTAAACACACAGTAAGAACACATAAATTATATATGGACCATTGAATACTATACTACTAAAAATCTGCTTTATTTCATCAAACATTTAACCACAATACTACATAAGAAATACAATAAAATGGCATAATTACGTCATGTAGTATTGAAAAATGTACCTGCAATTTCCTCGATACTGTTGGCTCTCATATCCAGCATGACTGTGCCGTTGAGTATGCAGCTACGTAGTTCAAATAAGCTGTGTAGTGACAACGTTGCCACATAGGGCTTACTCCACCTCTCCCCACCGTCTTCAACATCCTCTTCAAACTTCAGCCATCTATCAATAAACACCAAGAGCACAAATACACACACAGATCCTACAATTTACTTGAATCCACAAATCCTAACTGAATTCTCCCTCCACTCAAAAATGTGCTTTTCTTCCGTTTATGTCCTCTTAAATGTCTGACCTTGACTAAACTAACTAGAACGGTGTTTTCTCATGATGTCTGTGCACTTCCCTAACTGAAGATGACCGCAGTGATAGTTTTGGCAATTTTTTCTGCACATGTAATTGTAAATGACGACATTAAGGCTAACAGTTGTGACTAATAGCCATGATCACAATATCTAATCATGGTTTCCAGTTAACTCCCAATGATGTCATGATGTATGATTATGCTACAAAGCTATCAAACACAAAACACAGATCTGACATTATTCAGCTCTAAAAGCTTTAAAAGCCACTGGCAGTTCTGTATTGCTGTCACTTTATGAGGTTGCCATCATGCTGTTCATCTGACCTGGCAGTCTCCCTCCATTCAGTGGCACTGCCATCTCTGAAGGAGAGCTCGTCCAGCTCAGTGAAGAGGTCATGGGGGACGTGCTCAAGGTCATCGTCCTCTGTACCCAGGATGAACTGGACCCGCTGGGATGGTGTGTCTGTATAAAGAGTGGACAAAGGTTAAAGGTCATACAGAAGAAAAAAATCTCCAGCATTATGTGTTATTAAAGGACCCTGTGGAGTTTTTGATGTCTACGAGCTCAATGGAGCGGGCTTTTCAGTGGGTTCCTGTTTCACTTGTTCGCACATGCACACGGGTGATGGGATTCATAATCCTGCCAAAGCTGTTAAACTTTTCCGCTCATCAACAGGTGGCTGCAATGTGCCAAGAAATGCAGCAATGTGCCAGCAAAGGCAAAGGAGAGGAAGACTGTAAGCTAGAAAACATGCATGTTCCAGAATGTTTAAAAAAAATCTGCTTTGAAAATGTTTTATGGGAAAGGAAATATGTTTTTTAGATGTCAAGGTACCGATACACAGTGGATTTTGGTGAGTAATGCAAACAACTTTTATCCATTTACAAGAAAACTCCACAGGCACTTTTAAGTGGATGTCTTAATCTAAAACACATTTCCTCTCCGAGTACCCCCTGTTGTACCAGACTATTCTGTGAGTTCAGCTATCGAGCATGAAATGTTTTGGAAATGTTTTGTAAGGGGCAAAGATTCAGTCTGAGCATCATAAAAGGAGATGGTAGTAGGATGAAACTGAAGTGTTTGAAAGAAAATGTGTGTACAACTGCACTAATGCCTTCTGACGCTGAGGAGAATACTTTTTTGGGTATGGTACAGTCGGACCAGTACATCACTCTAACTCCTTTTCGTTATGCTACATAAGAAGGAATCCAGCTGCCGGCTTGATGCTGAGAAACTGCACAAGAGAGCATAATGAAAACCTGAATGCTTTCCAGCAATTTTCTTTTCATGTCTGATTGAGTTAGAGGGCAGATATCAGGACATCTGGAACTGGAGAGCAAACGGAAATAGATATGGCAGATTACAAGACTAAACGCCATAGGGAGGTGGAAATGGAATGACTGGGAGCGAAAAAGGGAGAGATATTTTCTGTTCACACATGGGTACACTCTGTGGTGGTCTGGTGTATATTACACACATGGGAGTACACTGAATAGTGATGTTGCTGTTCACCATTATTCCACACCTATACATGAGCTTTAAGACAATCTACCCATTGATATTTTTTGTTCTAGGTCAATATCTCATGTCACTGACTCCTGTAGACCTTTAAGGATTTTTGCTATCATTTCTGGAGTAGAGAGCAAGTATTATCATGACAGATGGTTCATGTAACTCTGCGTGTGTGTGTGTGTGTGTGTGACAGAGAGATTCTGCACAAGCTGGACATGTGATGAAATTTTTAGGCACCAGCACTAGGCATCAAACTGTGTGGATGAGCAAAGTGCTGATTTAGAATATCCATCTTGTGAATTGTGAGTGCAGTCAGTGCTTCACATGATAACAGGACCAACACCGTTCTGATAGTGTTGTTGTCATAAAGGACTGGTTAAACACTCATATACCCCATTTCCACCAAAATTTGCATGTATATGCAGGTTTTTTTAAATGGGGGAAGAGCCAGAGCTGTGTACATGGCTCTGCAGGAGACGCACATGTTCGCTGTCACAGACATGCTGGAAAATGAGGTTAGTAAACAGTAAGAAGCAGCTTGGACGCCAGAGAAAATGTTATGGTGGTTGCTTCTTTTTTATGTCTCTTACTTATTCAGTCTCTCTTGAACTCAGTGCCAACCAGATTTTAATGATGTTTGAGTGCTGCTTAGACAGAGATGGATGGTATTTTATGGCGGCCTTTCATTGCATAGTGCTAGCAAAGTGGCTAAAATTAGCATGTCCTCCCGGGTGTCTTATTTCCATCAGTGCTGATCGGGGCTAATCAATATACGTGACTACTGCAGAGCCCTTTGTCCTGGGAATGAATGCTGATTGTAACCTTTCCCATTAAATATAAAAGCCAGATGTTAGCAGGTGTTAGTGGATTTTATGTGCAGTGAAAAAGGGTCTATTGAGTTCAAAGCATTGTTTGGTTGCTTATGAGTCTTGCAGTTGAGGTAATGCAGCAACTTCTCACACAAACACACGCACACATTGCTTAAAATGTCATAGCCTTCAATCAGTGTCAGAGGCTGGTTCCCAGTGGCCTTTAATGCCTTTTAGAGCTGAATGTTTTATTCAGAACCGTTTGAAAGACGGAGAGACACACAGGGCTTAAGCAGAGTGGTGCTATAACCTGGCAATCTGTGCATTGTTAAAGAGGGGTCTGGTGCCAAATCACACCATAATGTTTCCTTCAACTTTCCTGTCACTGCTTTGCCAACCAAGGTGGAGCGTCTTTCAGCTTTTTATGTGTAAAGATGTTTTGTGCCATTCTTAAGGCATTCAAAGTCTATTACCATGGCCATCAGAGAGTGGCAAATCACATAACTATTTGCAAAAAATGTTTGTATCAGTTTATAAAGGCACCAGAAAAATCCCACCAATAAAAAGAAATGGAAAAGGTACACAAAGTCTAAACTAGGTCTTTCCATTGTAGATTGCAAGGGCTTCTGTTTATTGTCTGAGGCAAGTCCTGTGGGTGTGTGAATAAACACAGTTGAAGGCTCTAACAGCAGATATTAACTGCAAGGTACTGTGGGATATGAACTTATGGGCAAATAGGGGCTTGGAGAGAGAGAAAAAAAAAAGTGTGAGGTTTGGTATGAAATGGGGGCATTGAAATGTTTCCAACCATAAGTGGGGGATTCCCTGCCATCGTCCTTCCCCTCCTCAGAGTCTCTCTCTTTCTTCTTTCGGTGGTGTTTGTGTCCTCGGTGGCGATGCCTCCGTTTGCTCTCCCTTCCAAGAGGAACGTGGACACCTACGTACACTGCTCTGTGGCCTGGGGAAAAGAAAAGTGCAACACCAATTTCAGACACTTTTTCCTCTACACCCACTTTTACACAAATTGGAAAAGGAAACAGGAGGTTAGTTTGTAAAGACAACAGGGAAAACAGCATAAAAGACTGAAAACAGTTCAGTTATATCTTCAGTATCATGAAACAAACCAACTCAAAATAACCCTAAATAGGTAATAAAGGAAAAAATGTATTCCATGGTATTTGTAGTAGTAATAAATCAGATTATTCCAAGAAGGACAACAATAATATAAATGGAATTCCAAACACAATATATGAAACTGAACTTCAACTTCAAGGCTGCATTGTAAAACAGACTATTTAAGCCTCCAAGAACAGCATCACAGTTACAGTCATTTACAACTGAAGTAAAGACAGACACACCAACATTTGAGACATAATGACAGAGAACTACTTTCCATTTTGTTTGAGTGCTCTAGATACTCAGTTGAAGGAAACCAGAGTACAACGTTTAACTTTTTCACCCCTCTGTTTTTTTCCAAATGTTTTATCTACTTCCCCTCATTATTGTTAGTGCCACACAGGAACCATGTTCTGAAATGCAGACGCCCTATTTTCGCCCTACATTCTCTACCAATACTCATTTTTCACAGATGAGTCATCTCTCTTTGATTTGAGAGAAAACCCAGGAGGAATGAGACCAAGATGCAGCACTCAGAGGAAGGCAGAAGTGACATACACATGAGCTGAACAGATGGAGAGAAACGGAGATGGAGAAAGAGGGGGGAAAGGAAGGGAGAGAAAAGACACAGGAGGTGAAACAGGATGGGGTGAAAAAAAAAAAACAGCTTAGCTAGACAGAAAGCAGAGGGCTCCAGGGTGTCGTAAATGGAAAGAATGGGATTTGAGATATTCAGTATGTGATCATACCTCTGCCATCTCTGACAGCCATCTCAAAGCATTTTTCTTTTCCTTTTCAACTGAGCATGCTAGCAATTAGCTTGCCTTGCTCCGTTAAAATATTGTTAACTTTAACATGGCCCAAGCTAGCTTAAGGTAAACATCTGCTCCTTCTAAAGATGATTTCTGATTTGTGATGACTTATTAAGAGATACTAACACATTCTGCAAACATTTAACATTATTCAGTATTAACTGTAGCTCCATGTAAAGTGAATAAATGTGATGAGCTAATCCTCCACTCGTCTGCATTAACGGCGCAGTTTACATGTTTTTTAACTTCTGATTTATTAAAAACTGTTCTGAGCGAAACATGAGGCTGAATTTAGCAGCAGACTTCAGTAATAGTAATATAAAGAAGTAAAATAAATAACTTTTGGCATTCATTTTGTTATATGATATAAAGGAAGTACGGTAAATCAATAACACATTCTCAGCCCTAATGACAAAATACATATTTCAAGGTATGTTGCGGAGTTTATTTTATAACGAGCAATTTTCTAATGTAGGTTGTGAAAGAAGTCAGACGAGGAAAGATATCATGTACTGATGCTGAGTGACGGACCTCTCAGTCTAGGTGTCATTCTCTCTCACTTTCTCTCTCAAACTCTTGTGGTTTTATTTCTCATATCGGTGGTACCTTTGGCAACAATCCCTTTTTGTTCTGGTCACTTGTTCAACACACAGTTTCTGAAGACAAAAATTTAGCTTAGACTGGTTGTTAGTCATTACAGACACGGACAGTGCAACAGGTACCAGAGCTCCGCAAAGACATTTTAGAAAAGGCTAAGTTAACATTAGTTAAGTATTTGTTAAAAATAAATCAGTATTTCCTAAACTGAAGGCAAATTACTTTCAAAAAGAACCGGCATTGGCGGTTAGCCACCAAGAGTAGCCACTGGGACTAACCACAGACAGTCTATGGGACTAACTAGCATACTGCTACTTTCCGCTATCTCACTGGAAGTTGTGCCCATAATCATTTCTACAGTAGTGCCCTGAGGAATAAGGTGGATAAAGATATTAAAATATTTTCCCTCTCCCAAATTATATATTTATATTAATAATAATAATATTATTCCACAGCCTTACTACAAAATCTCAAAAACAACAAAATTTCAAGAGCCCGGAGTATCTCAAGTTTACCTAGCCTGGTGCATCACACTTCAAGTGATCAGCAGCTAGTGAGGAATGAATGAAAATAAAATCAAACATTAGTTTAGTAGAGATAGAAAAGGCAACACAATCTTGCTATCCAGCAAGTGTTTCCACTTAACATGTGCTGGCTTAGGAATCTACCCTTTCAATTAAAAAAAGACAGACACGGGAAAAATCTTTCAGTATGGGTGGCTTTAAACTTACTTTCCAAATCTTCCGATTCATAGTTTGTGTGAGTGGTGAAATTGGTCTTCCCATGGTCAACTATTGCCTCCTCATCTAGACCCTGAGAAAGACAGGAGGAAAGAGTTAGCAAAAGAGATACAGACAGAAGAAAGATAAATAGGTACATGACTATCATGTGCAAATTGATTTTTGATTCCAATTTTCACCTCAATAATTTTACTGTTTTTTATGACTTTATATGCAATTTAAAAATGAACTTGGGGCTATTGTAATGAGAAATTAGTACAGCTCACTGGACACTAAAAGCTGGTTCCCCTGAGTGTTGGCCTTGGGGAGATACAAGTGCACTCATTACTAACATGTGTTACTTGCATTCACTAATAAAACAAAATGGTACACACAGCAGACATTCAATAAGATATCTCATCACTGAAATGGAGCAAAATGTTAAAAGCAATGACAGACTGAAACTAGAAAGTGCACTCAGTGGAGGGCAGATCACCGCCAGGCAGCCACTGGAGCTGACCTCCGCCGCCTTAGACAATGCATGAGGTACAGCTGCACCTTGTGGAATTGTCCCTCCTGGTTCCCTTTCAGTTAAGATGGTGACAAAGATAACAATAATTTTTTCCATCTCATATTGTGCCTAATGTTAGTGGATTATTACATATCAGGAACAGAATTAATCCACAGATGCTCCTCTTCAAAATGACACCAAAGTCCTCTATTGATGTCAGTTTTTTGTCCACAACAAAGGCCAAAATGTGGCCAGAGACAGACAGTAAAGGTTATTGTTTTTAGCCTAACCAAATGTCAGACATGCCTTTTGTGTGATGCTTTTGCAGTGTGATTTTGTTGAGGACTTGTGGCCTCGACTGGCTAGCTGGGAGGAGTCAGGAGTCAGCACCCAATGACGATGTGCAACAGTCAATAAAACCAGTTTTTTTTAACGATTGTCAATCACCATAACCACGAAAGGTCCCTGAGCATACAGTCATAAATGTGAATACAAAATATTAGGGTGATTGGTCCAGTAGTATGCACGATCAGCGGCGGACAGGCAGACACACACTCAAAGTCTGTAAGTTTGTTGTGTGGGTTGATGAACAGTGATGTCAGATAAAGGATCTGTGGTGGCAGTAAGAGGTAGCAGAAGAATGAGGGAAACTTACAGGGCAGAGAAAAGGACCCTGACTCCGTCAGTTTTTCAAATAGTGTAGGCACTAAGCTGAGTACATTGACAAAGATTGGCTTGACTGTGATAAGACTGGTGGGAAAACAGCGTGGAGATCCTTACATTTTCTCTGACACTCCAAATATATTAATCACTTGTTGTTTACCATACCAAATCACTCCATAGCTCTGAGTTTATCTGTGGGAGTTATGAAAATAAAACACTTTGTTTTCACAGATGGCCAACACTGACAGCCCATTTTCACACAACAATAAAGAGCAACACCTCAGACCATGATCTGGAAGAAGATATTATTAAGTGCACTTAATTATTAGACTGTGATAATTCATCTCTTGTATTAAATGTAGTCCAGAACACAATTACATCCTCTGGCAAACAGGTGAGATTTGGGGGATGTGATAACAGCATAGTGTACCAAGCACATTAACCTCTGTTGTGTTATTTTAACAACTTGATGTTCTGTTAAAAGCAGCAAGGTATTACTGGAACTTTATGAGGATTATATATGAGCCATTTTTCATACTAATTAGTCAGTATTGAAAAACATTCGTTGTTGTGGTCCATGCCATAAAAGGTTAAGTTTCATAGCAACATCGAGAGGCTGGTTCCACTCATTAAAAAAGAGGTTACGACCTCAGTGAAAATAATTAGTCTGATATCAATCTCATGGAAACATCAAGAGATAGAACGATCCAATTAGAAAAGACATAAAGCTGTCAGAATAGATAGCAGCAAGGGTGCATATTATTAATATTCTTTATCAAATTATAGTGCCTTGAAACAATAATTACTGCACCCAAACACACATAAAAGTGCTATACTTGTGAGGACATTCATTCTCCAGCTCTTAACCACAGCCTTAACTATCAGCAGTACATGCTTAATAGAATAGTTCAGATTTTCTGAAGTGGAGTTTTATGGGGTACTTATCCATAGTCAGTGTATTACATACAGTAGATTAGTGTTGTCACGATACCAAAATCTTTGTTTCAGTACCAACACCAATATGAATTTCAATACTTTTCGATACTCTTCGGAAAAGTCCTTTTGGATACAAACCTTTAGAACAATAAATAGTAGGGGTGTAACGGTACCAAAAAAATCATGGTTCGGTAAGTACCTCGGTACGGACGTCACGGTTTGGTAACTCAAATGTTCCACCAAGTTTGTGTTGTCTCGTGTTGTCTCCCTTTGCGAGGCAGACTTTGTCTTGTCTTTTTTCACATGCGCCAGCTGCGAATGTTGATACAGGTGCTGTCATACACACCACTTGTGCAATCTGTGTTCCAATAGGAACAAGAAAGGCGTTTGTGTGCATAAATGAGTAAAATAAATTAACTAAATTAATTTCAAAGTACAGTTTCAGTTTCAAAGTACCGGTATTTTCCAAATGCAGTATAGTACCGTTTGGAATACTCTAGTACCGTGGTACTATTTTAGTACCGGAATACTGTGCAACACTACAGTAGATGTCTGTCAGCACCACTTTACCTTTCCATCAGACAGCCCATGCCAGCAGGGAAACCAGTAACAGCTACAGTTCCCTATCTATGCTCTCGTCACAGTCACCAGACTGCATAGACAAAAACTGTTTGCAAGTTTGACTCACTGAACACAGGAGCTGCTGGTCTACCGCTGCCTGGATCAGTTTGTTACTTTGTGTTATTGAGTGACTTTTGTGACTGAGTGACTGTACATTGCTTAGCTTCCGGATTGGACTTCTCCAAGCCTGTGGTGTCCCAACTGACACTTATTGTAGCTGATATACTGACTATGGTAAGAACCTGATACAACCCTGCTTCAAAAGATCTGAACCATCCATTTAACCTCAACATTTAAACTGAAGTTAGCCCAATCCTAACTGTAACCTTTAAACTAAACTAAACTTTGTTTAGTTTGAAACTCAAAACTAGTTCTTAAGAAGGCTAATTCACAGTGTCCGCATTAATGTGCCCGCAAGGGTCCGTGAGACGTAAATGTCATCATCCACCCTTGTCCACAAGGATCTGCGTGGGCCCCTATGTCGACATCTGTGGGCAGCCCATTTTTTGTAACAGTGCTGATTGTCAGTCAAGCCATCCGCAGCTGCCTAAGGTGAAGTTAGTTTTAAGTTGGATATACAACATTCTTCTTAGTTTCACTTTCACCTGATGTTGACAGTAAGAGAATGGTAGGCCCACCAGTCAGCCTTCCCGTTTACTACTAGGGGCTGACGTAGACGCTTAATTGTACTATGAATAGAACTGTGTGCGCGTCCGTGTGACCACAGCTGTCCAGGGACGTTCAATACGGAAAGTATGTCGGAGCCTTAAGACATACACATTTACCCTGACAAACATAAACCAATGAACCTTCTCACCCCAAACCCGGTTTGGCCCTGACTTCCTAATCTTTAGTGCCAGAGCATTTAAGGCAGCCACAGAGACATGACCATCTCCAATTACTGTTTAATGTGGGGCCAATACAGAGCTAAATGTGCTTGGAGAAGTCACTGTGAGTCCAACCGATACCGATGTCACCCAAGGCCACAACCACAAAAATAATGAGGAACCAGAATGTCTTGGCATCTTTTCGTATAATTACAACACATCCCGCCTCTCCCATCCTCACCAGTCCCCCAATCAACAAACACATATAATTACATTAAATAAAGCTGGGATGTCAGATCACTTCAATCAGTACACCTATGACACACTGCAGGCCCGCCCTTGTGAGAAATTACAATTTCGCACCTCTAAGAAACCTAATACTTCCAGCTGTTCTCTAAGACCACACAGAGAGAATTCGTAGAAGACAGGCCAGCTTGGCTCGATGATCAGTGTGTCCTTTCAACTAGACATGATGTATTGTGATGAAGGAAAGCTTATTTTAGACAGGCATTAATATAAGGCCTATAAACACCACTGGGTGGCAGTAAGTTAATGCTGGCTCTGATTGCCAGGCTGATAAGGACAGGCTGAATTATGGGTAATAGCACATTTGTGACAGATAAGGCTTAATACTAGGGATCCTGTCTTACACTTCCCTTGAGTACAGTCTTTTTGACAGCTGATGTTTCAATAACAGGTTGGGGCAGGCTGCAAAAAAACGGTTTATGAAACTAAAAAGGAATTTCTTCGTCTTTCAAATAAGCTCAAGGTGATCAAAGATAATCACTTCTATGAGTTTCCAAATATCTAACATTTCGTCTTTTACACAGGCTTTATAACATGATCAGATTCCGCATGTCAACAACTAAAAATGTGCAATCCTCCTGGCTCGTGTACAAACACTTTGATGCAGTACATTTCTCAACTGCATGATCCTTTGAATGCCTTCAACCAATCACAGAGAGCTACTGCCTAAAACAAAAGGCGACAATGACAGCCACATGCCAAAAAGATGTGTAACATGTGGATGATATCAGGCCCTTGCGTGTCTTTGCCCCAACATGTCGGTCACCTCCATGTACTGCACTGAAGTTTCTTTCTGACAGAAAGCACGTACTCCATGACCCATCTCCTGCTTTCTCTGTTTCATTGCTGGCTTACTATTATGAATATGTCTTCAATGACATTCAGATTTCCACACATATATTACCATAATCATTCTCCTGTTAGAGCCCCACCTACGATGACTGATGCCATCTGTGATTGTGTCTGTGCGTGCACTTGTACGCCTGTGTGTATGTTTCTCAGTTGCTAGTGGATTTGCATGATAATGAGCTGTGTTGCTCTCTGACAGTGCCTTGATGAGGAGCAGTAATAATGCAGCTGCAGGGAGAAGAGCAGCAAGAAATTAATCTATCTCTAGTAACTGGAGTTCTTCCCCCTGCCCCCAAGCACACTACAGGCAGGTTAAACTGGCTGAGGGTGACTTAAGAAGAAGAAGGGGACTGGATGTTCAGCTGCAGTTAGGACAGAAAG